CCCCCGCCCCCCCCCCCATTTTTGCGATAGGTGCTGTTCTACTGCGGCAAAAAGGCGTTTGTGCAGCTCGGTTGTTTTTTGGCTGAGCTTTGAAGGATGCACGAACGAGACACAAAGATAACAACATTATTCCATGGTTACGGCAAGTTACGTCGAAGAATGCCCGTCATGTAATGTAAACCTTGCCCTGCATGCAGTCTGCTTGTAGGAGGTAATTATTGACTTGCGAGAGTCGGCTTGCAGGTCCATAGTTTTGAGCCGACCCGGAGCTGGCCCGAACCGTGTTGCCACGCATGACCTTTTTGGGCTGGATCTCGAGTCTTCCGGACCTCTTTCGGCGGAGAAACGAGCCTCTTCTGATGCTGGTGAAGCGTGCATTTTTTCGAGTTCTCGACGTTGACATATCTGATTGCATGTCGTCTGTCTCTTCCAGTCCTGTGTCACCAGAGCTGCCCGTTATACAGCTCGTCCTAGGCCGTGGCTCTCAAGTCTCATTTTTGCCGGAAGTAGTGGCGTAATGCGGATGGCTGGCTTCCGCAGCGGGTCCAAGTGTTCACAGGGCGGATTCCGAGCACCACACTCTGGTTTTGTTGTCGGTGCAAAAGCTCAGTGGGCTGCCCACGGGATGCACGGTAACAACATGTAACAGACGTGATTGTCGTCACTTGGCAAGTGGGTGCAGGAGCTCATGCGGCTTTTGTCGCCTGATATCCGTTGTGCCTTCCAGTGCGAGAGCCAGCTAAACATGGCCACCGATGCAGGCGTGGTGGGCTCGAAGTGCAAGGACTATTCACTCTAAGTGTTGGGGCCTTTTTTTGAACCTTCACCTGTTCTACACCTCAACGTCCACGTAAAGTCTTTTCAAAACCAGATGTGCGGCCGTGCAAACCTAAAAGGACCCGAAAGCCGTGGCACTCAACAGAGCGCTTGCCTCTTTGTCGCTTGTGGTCCAGCTGTCCATGTCTGCGATGTTTAAAGACTGTGTTGCGGCCCTCTTCCAGTCTGTTGCTTCTGCAGCAGCGGCTCGTCATCAAGACAATTTTAGCGCTGCAGGTATTGGCGTCTGCAAAGAGATGCAACCCTCGCTTGTCGGTGCCTGTCCGCAGGTGCCACTGCCGCGGCGATGCTACGCAGGAAGACTGGGGAGCTCGTGGCAGCACGTGTCCTGCGAGAGGCACGGGCCCCGGAATCCGACAAGCCGCAGGGATCCTCAAGGCTTCCTGCTTTAGTCAATTGCAGGCCTCGAAATTGAAAGGCACAAAGCAAAGGTTCGAATGCCACAACAGCACCCAAACCTAAGCCGTGACCCCACGACCGAGAAACAAGCCGCTGAACCTGAACGGAACTCTCCCCCCCCCCGCCTAGAACAACGAACGATCCCTGAACCACCGCCCCACGCCCTTGTCGCGGCGGTGCCCGAGCATCCCAAAGCTGTGTTGCCTCCGAGGTCTTCACGATTCCTTTGGCAGACTTGGGCCTGCAGGACTTGCAGGTTTCAGTGGTCATGTACATGGAGGAGAAGCCGCCCGTCCCAACACTAAAACACAGCTCGCTTCTCACTTGACAGTAAGAGGCGTCACGACGTCAGGTCCGAGGCCACTTCTCCTCTGCATCGGCTCGATGGACTTGACGGACCTGACGACTCCCCTCCAGTTCCAGAGCTAACACTCTTGGAGAGGATGCGGGCCTCCTGGCAGCACCCAAGAGTGTCCATTGTCTGAACTCTTTCAACTCGGGCCCTGCACACCCAAGGACTTACAATCAGAAGTTATTTCTGGCGTGATGAGCAAAGTCATGGCAGATACTGTAGCTGAGTAGCGGAAGCTTCCAGTCGTCGGTCGATCTCCAGTGTGCCTTTCCTGGCCGCATTGCGGCATTTCGATAGACGATTCGCTGTCAACACGAAGGCAAGCTCAGTCCTGGCAGCTGCTTCATGTATGACATTATTTGTGACAGATTATGTGGTTTGACTCATGGCTGGTTGCGCCACGGCAAGTGGATGCCAACGGATACATTTGCCTAGCACAATCAATGGAAGGTTGCTCAGTCACCAGGACCGGGCATTGTGCGAAGACTTTTTCAATTCAGTGACTCAGTGAGTGACAGCCAGAAATAAGCTTTTTCTATGAAACTTTCTAGCATGGCCTGGTTCACCTGCGAATTGCTGAACACTGCTTGGGTGAACAATGTTTGTTATAAGGATTTCATACTCCCTCAATTGGGTAGTTCTTTAAGTTAGTGTCAGTTTCAGGGTCCTTCTTATAAGGGTGCCATACTATATTGGGGACCGAATAAGGGACCTTAATTTAGAGAATTACCCAATTCAAGAAATCAGACGTGGGAAGACATGCCAGCATTGCAAGGCTCGTGGGGAGCCTAGCTTGTAGCTTCTTGCTACGATTTGCAAGCACAGCTCGGAGATGGTTTGGACGGAAGCTGAGAACGGAGTTTTATGCAAGAAGCAAGCCTGTAGCCTTGTGAAATTGTGTCAAGCCCTGCTCGCTTAGTTTGCCAACAGGAGGCCGCAGGATGCACCGAGTGCGCCGTCGTGCCAACCGTCTTCCGAGCTCTAACCCCTTGGGCCCAGTCGCCCCATTCCATGAATCGGCTGAAAGCGGTGACGGCCAGCAGTGCTATCGGCAGGGTGCATTGGCAACACTGGCTGCATGCATTGGGGCGCCCCGACACCAGTACAATGAATTGAGTTTGTGCACGTGTTGGGACCAACACACATCTTCCATCTTGCAGTCGGAAGTAATGTCGGGTGTTGGTGGTAGATCCTTGGGATGCTGCCTGCTGCAGCTCACTTGAGCGAAGCTTCAGGGGAGCAGGAGTCAAATTGAAGAATGCATTTCCTGCGACTTCCCGCCATGCATGCAGCATTCCTCGCTTAGTTGCAGTACTGCACCTGGCTTTCTTCCATGTCCATCTGTCGAAATGCATAGCAAGGCGGAATTTAAGTTTGTGGCTCTGCAAATTCTGGCATGTTGCTGTTGCATCAGCTCAGTGCCCCATCACCATGCACTCACGGATGTCCTCGCTCACAGGAGGCCACCCGAGTGCCGCGACAGAGTCACTAGGCTTCCATGTTTCATGCTGGCACTGCAAAACTGACTGGGTCTGAAGGCGAGGACGGAGATGCTAGACTGAAGTGTGACATAACAGATACGGGCAACTCTCGTACCTTGCATGGCCAGCGTGGACTCTTTGTTTGAAGGCTTGTATTAGCTCACCATGGCCTCTTGGCAGTTCATTGTGTCACAGTTGTTTTCCGTTCGCAAGTAGCAGGCTAGCAGTCTATCATACGTGGATGGTGCGTGAAAGCTGCGAACGTGTTGCGGCCTTGTCTACCAAGAGCGAGAGACTCACGTTTTGGGTGGGTTGTGTCGGATTTACCAGCTTTGTTTCCGTGCAGGATTGGCCTTGTGACCTCCCAGGCTACGGCTAAGCTGCCAGGCGACGACAGCAAATGTCTCGACCTGACAGAAGGTGCTGTTGAATGTTGCAGCAGATGTGGAATTAAAGGTTGCAGCTGGGCAACAGCTGAAGGGCCAGAACCAGAACTGCGGCGGTGGCTAGGGCGAGTCTGAAAAAGCACCCTGCTACCCCGTGGTGCCCTGAAACGCAACTCGCCGCGCTGGGAGCCAAAAGCAGAGCGGTGGCTGAGCCTCTGCTGGGTACTCTTGGGAAAGCCCATGCGCCCCATGCCAGCAGGCCCAGGAGGCCCAGGAGCCTTCCACAAAGCGGCTGTGTCGATCACAGGCTCGGCATTGCACAGCACGGGCGAGACATGGCGAGACCAAAAGCCGACTTCACTGCTGTGAGGTCCTTCCACGAGTCCCCGATGGCGTACGGCCTGACAATGCCCGAAATATCCTTTGCCTGCGGATCGGCACGGGGCTCGGGCCGTTTGCACCCTTTGTTGGAAAATTGGCGAACAGTCTCCTGCGAGTGGAGACTCAGTGCGAGCGCGCTGGAACAAAAGGGGAGTTCAAGCGAAAGATTACAGGCCCCTGCAGGACTCGCTGAGGGTGTCTCCACATGCGCAGCTGTTTGCCAATGCCTGCAGAGTGACCTGCAATTTGTGCAGAGTTTCGTCGCCAGCTGTTCGATCCCGAATCACTTGGGCTGCCCGAAAGATTTTGTTTTGACCAGCTTTGCTGATAGGAAGGGTTGAGGTTGCAAAGTGAAGCTAGAAGACAAGCTGACAGAGCTGCTGGCCGGCATTGGCGATGGATGCATGCTGGAAGAGGACTCCCCAGATGTCTCCTTTGTCCCTACTAAACTACTGGTGGACAGTCCGAGTGCATCTGTTTGGCAAGCACCACCAACTTTTTTCCCCAATGTCTCTGGATCAGTACCATCAGGGCCGCATTGCATGTGCACACACACACACACACTCTCGGATCTACATGCAGTTGGAGCCCATCACGTTGACACCAGTCTTATGATCCTCCCCAAAATAAAAATGGAGGATGGGCACGGGGATGTCGTGACGCGGAGCATGATGCAAGGTTTCAACGACGCATGCAAAGAATCTGGAACCAGACTGACAGGAGGACAGACAGTATTCAATCCTTGGCCCATCGTTGGCGGGCCTCGTTAGAGCTGATGGTTTGCAGCTGACGTTCGGTTGTCAGATCGCAGCAAATCTTGCACTCTGGCTGGGAGACACGAACAGATGGCAGAAGGCCGTGCCTTGATTGATATTGACACAGCAGTTCGGGCTGTGAAGAAAGCCGAGGATGGAATGCGTTTGAGCCGCATGGCTGCCCTGTTGATGTCCAGGTATGGTGCACGCGGGGCCACTGACGTCACTAGTCACTGGCTTCGGTTTGTCAGTGGCAGCGCAGAAGGCGTCTGTATCGTTGGACATCCACTTGCTACTAATAATCAAAGGCTTGGCGGTTCATGAAAGTGGAATCGATGCCGACTACCAGCTCACGAAGGGATTTTCTGCAGAGACCTCCGGTGGGCTGCTTGTGGCATTGCCAGGAAGGGCGGCTGCAGAACAGCTTCTTTCGGCTCTGCGGGCGCCAGAGGATGGCCGGGATGCCGAGGCCATCGTTGGCCAGCTTGGGCTAGGGCCACTAACTACACAGCTGTAATGCCTTCACAAGTGTCTTCTTTGAGAGACAAAGCGCCACTCTGGGAAGGTTGTGCGGCTCAGTGAGAATTTTTAAAATGTGACCTGGTTCCAGCTCCTAGTCATAACTTGAGCGTGAATTATGGCTGCTTTCCGGTGTGTTGGTGTGTTGAAGCTCGAACAGTGACTTGGGTTTGCTCGCAGGCTTTGCCAATGAGTTCTCGCCGACCGTTTGTTCAGAGCACACATCTTAACAAGCCGCTGCAGTAGTTCTTCGAGCTTACTCCTGCTGCGATGCTATGCCAAGCAATGCACGTTCGTTTTCTGTCACAGTGTTTCTCGACCGGTGCTGGAAGATGCTGGAGAATCCATCAACGGACTTCCAGTGCACCGCTGTACAGCGCATTGCAAGTATCGGAGACAGAACACAGTGGGACTTGCCAGGCAAAGTGAGCTTGCTGCTCAGCTGCTCGGAAGCTAAAGGGCCAGCTCTGCAACTAAAGCTGCCAAGGTCAGAAGCAGCTGCTCAGACAATTGGCAGAACAGGCTGCCGACTGCTTCGCTGATGCTGGCGAGACTGCAGCGAGCGACGATGAAAATGGTAGTTTGCATCGTAACGGCTGAAGCTGGTGCAGCTGGAAGTGCTACAGTCTGTTCCAAAAACTGCTGCAAGGCTCTCAGGTCTGCGCTTGACGTGCGATAGTCCGACAGCATCTCCAGGTACAACCTTCTTTAGTCTCTCACAACTAGAGCAGCTAAGCTGACACGAACCAGTGTTCCCAACAACCATTGGCCGCCCAAGCGAATTCGAAGGCACAGGCCTTTGACTCTGTCGACTGTCATTGCATGGCTGCCCAGCCGCGTGGGCATGAAGTTGCTCCACAAAGAGTTCGAGAAGGCTCATACCGAAATCCAGCCGTGTCGTGCCGTACCATCTTCGAAGCGTCAACCATTTCAGCTGTTTCGGTCCACCTTGCGGATCCGTGAGAGCTCTGAGTCTAGTGAGTCTACGGAAATGGCCATCTGCATTGTGACATCACCCACAGAGTCAGCATCAACTGGGAGCTGCGGCTGGCATTGAGCACTAACTGTCAAGTTTTTTCCATGCTGCGCTTACTTTCCATCCAGTCGCGATGGAGCCGTGGCCATCAGCTCGTTGCACCGGCTGTACCGGCTGTGCAGGCGCAGAGCTGACAGAGCTGACAGAGACATCCATATTTGTTTGCAGAGGCCTCTCTTGCTCTCCTTGCTCTCGTGGTCCCGTCCATTCGAAGCCCGCGAAGGGCGACCTTGAGCCCAGGTACCAGGAGGCTCGAGTGAGGACATGCGCCGCGCGGTTTCAGTTCTTTGACGTTCCTCAGGCCTTTGCGCTCTGCTTGGCTTTTCGAGCGGCTTCACTCTGCAGGAGAAGGTGGGCCCCATGCAAGTGCTGCAAGACCGAATGCAAGTTCACTGTTCCGAGTTAAGGGGAATACCCAGATACCAGGCTTCGGAACATAGCCTCGGTTACTTTGTCGAGATGACGATGTGTCAAACGTGCTTTGTCCGATTCCGGTAGCCGCCGGTGACCTGCACTATGTTCGTTAGTTCGTCCTGGTGAAGCTCTCTTCCCTACTTCTCACGGAAGGCACGGACTGGCCCGTCGAGCCGGCACGCAGCCGAGTGCAACCTTGAGAGTGCTAGCCGCCTCCCGCAGCTCTAAGGGAGGCTCAGCCGGGGTTTTTCTCCATTCCGCCAAGGCGCTCCCTGGGACGGCTTGTTCGGGAACACGCAGAAGGTTGTGATTCCCAACAGCACGAGAGAGGTGCCACAGGGCTGAGATACTTTGTGCGCGTTTGTGGGTCAACTCGAGATACAGCGGTCAAGAGGTCCAGATCAGAAACAGATTTGGCCACCTGCAGGTTTTAGACCAGCTCAAGAGCAGCAGTGAGCCCAGGGTGTGTATGGTCTTGCATACGACAGGCAAGAAGGAGCCATTGGCAATGAACTTTGTTAAATGAGGCATGGGCATTCTGGTTAAATCCGGTCTACCACGGGCTGATGTGGACTTGCCAGAACCTGGACTGCAGAGCAGCAAGTTCTCCAGTCCTTTGTCCGCGTGTTTTTCTAGTCGGCAGGATCCTGTGTTAATTCGGAGCGCTCGAGTTTCTCAGGCGGGCCTCCGGCTTGGCTTGGAGAATGTCATGGACGCTTCGCGAAGTTTGCATGCTAAACTGTAGGAGTGTAGGACCTGCTGCAAGGGCAGTCAGGCAGCTAAATACCGTCTGTTATTCGTGCAGGACCCCCTGATTCAGCCTGCGCCAGAGCCATCGAAAGTGCAGGTTCTTCAGGAGCGGCTTATTCTAGTTTCTGGCTGTGAACTCTCTCTCTTTGTCCCTTTCCTTTCCCCTGCCTCCACTGCGATGTGCGAATTGCCGTGAAAATTGCCTCTCGCCCTTCTCGATCTCTCACCAACTCTTTGGCACACCCTGACCTGCCTGAGTTTGGCAAGGCAGACCGCGAACTTGCCCGAGTCTTCCTGGCCATGTTCAAGGCGCTCCCATTCCAACTCCCTGCTGCCAATCTCACACCTGGGGCGAAGGTGGTCAAAGACAGCCTGAGCATCGTCTTCCGCACCAACAAGCAAGCTGCCGCTGCAAAGAAACTCTGGGGAGATGCTGTCGGCAGCTCGCCACAAGTCGTGTGCAGATGTGGTGTCGAAATGCCCTTGAGATCTGTCACATCCCAACACCCTGCGGTTGGTTGTTGATGTCCGCAACTTGACTTTTATGGCTTGCTAGCCGGATCTCGTGGGTTAGCTAGGCCTTGACATGTCTACGGCTGCCTTTGCCAGAAACAGTTCAAACAGTCGGGTCCACAGGACTATATAGTTATTGGCATCCAGCATCACAGCATATCACAGCAGCATTCTATGGTCTGCAAGCACGCCCACACTTGCAGGTTGGATAGGCTTCCACTGTGCTCCTCGTTTTGCCATGTTCAGCTTGAGCGCATGGCTATGTTGCAGTAGTTTGAAGTTGAGCTTTGCATGTCACAAGCTACGGGTGTTTGCTAGCCGCAAAATTGTGAACGCACAGGCGCCGTGAGCTTTAGGCTATAAGAGATCCGTTCACTGCGCATCCGCATTCAAATTGGTCCCGGAAATACACTGGCCGGGTATGGCCGGTATGGCTGGGTGACGCGCCAGCTGGCTTCTATTCTCAGATTGCAGAGTGTATTGTGGAGTGTTCGTCACTTGTGTGTCCCACAGGTGGTGGAGTATTCCAGTCATGACAGTAGCAAGGTGTCAGTGCACTTCACGTGTTGTGCTAGACGTTGCTGCTGCATTCAGGCACAAGGGTTCATGTGAGGAAAAAGGGTAGCAAGCCTTCGCGTTGCCAGTGCTGTGTCCGGGCGCGGGGGCCCTACACCAGCACTGGTAGCGGAGCGCTGTTTCGACTCCGGGCTTAGCCATGCCGGCAGAACATGGAAGGACGTGGCAGCCGCGGCGACAAGCTCAGCCGGGGCAGCCGCCCGCGACGGGTGGCGACGGGGATGCATCGGGAGACAACCCCGGGCCGAACCAGCAGCAGCCCAACGGCACAGACAGAGCGGCCGACCAAGAGGCGACTGCTCCTGATGAGCCACCCCAGAACCCGTGGTTAGAGTACTACCGCAGCCGCTCCCAGGAGACCGTGACCTACGACGACCCGGGCGCCCAACGACAAGGCGGAGTGGTCGGATGATGGCCGCTGGGCAAAGAACTCTGGATGGCACAAGATGGGTGGTCTGATTCCAATGATTGGAGCCAACAGACGCCTGGCAGAGTGCAACCCTGGATGCCATGGAACACGCAGCCCTGGCAACCTTGGATACCTAAGAGGCAGCAAGAAGGGCTCCGGGCGGCAGAGGGCGGCCGGCTATCGGATGGACAGCTCCGTGGCTTTCATGTGGCACAGGTGGA